GAATAGCCAAAACAATCCTTAGCAAGAAGAGTGAAGCAGGAGACATCACAATACCAGACCTTAAACTATACTATAGATCCATAGTAACTAAAATGACATGGTATTGGAACCAAACAGACATGTAGACCAATGATACAGAATAGAAGACACAAAGACAAACCCACATAAATACAAGTTATCGCATACTAGACAAAGGCGCCAAAAACACTCATTGGAGAAAAGATAGCTTCTTCAACAAATAGTGCTGGGGAAACTGGAAACCCATATGTAACAAAATAAAATTAAACCTCTATCTCTCACCCTGCACAAAAATAAACTCAAAGTAGATCAAAGACTTAAGCAGTAGAACAGAGACACTGAGGCTAAAAGAAGAAAAAGTGGGCCCAAATCTTCATCATGGCTTAGGAACTGACTTCCTTAACAAGACTCCTAAAATGCAAGAAATAAAATCAACCAATAAATGGGGTGGATTCAAACTAAAATGTCTCTTCTCAGAGAAAGAAACAATCAATAAGGAGAAGAGAGAGACTACAGAATGGGAGAAAATCTTCATCACATGCACTTCAGGGAGAGCATTAATCTGTAGGATATATGAAGAACTCAGAAAACTCAATACCAAAAAATCCTCAAATAACCCAATCAATGAATGGACTAAGGAACTGAACAGATACTTCACAGAAGAATAAATACAATAAATCAACAAAACCCTATTCCAAAGGCAGAGCAGGGATGACACACTCAATTCACAATTCACAAATACATGAAAAAATGTTCAACAACTCTAGCAATTAGAGAAATGCAAATCAAAACTATTCTTAAGATTCAGCTCACTCCAGTCAGACTGGCAATCATCAAGAACACAAGCACAAATGAATATTGGTGAGAATGTGGGGGACAAGGCACACTCATACATTGCTGGTGGGACTGCAAATTGGTGCAACCATTATGGAAAGCAGTATGGAAATTCCTCAGAAAACATAGAATGGAACCACCTTTTGACCCAGCTATCCCACTCTTTGGGTTATACCCAAAGGACTTAAAATCAGCACACTATAGAGATATAGCCACATCAATGTTTATAGCAGTTCAGTTCACAATAGCCAAACTATAGAACCAACCTAGATGCCCTTCAATAGATGTGGTATATACGCACATAGAATATCACTCATCCTTAAAGAATAATGAAATTATGGCATTTGCAGATAAATGATGGAACTGGAGACTATCATGCTAAGTGAAATAAGCCAATCCCCTAAAACAAAAGTCTGAATGTTTTTCTCTGATTTGTGATGCTAATTCACAATGGGGGTAGGGGGTTACCTAAGGGAAAATAGATGTATTTTGTTAGGCAGAGGGGAGTGAAGGGAGGGGAGAGGGTGTGGGAGGAGGAAGGATAGTAGGATGGGCGTTATTACATGACTGATATGATTCTACAACATGTACAACCAGAATAATGAGAAGGTTTACTCCATTATGAATGATTTGTCAAAATGCATTCTACTCTCATGTATAAGTAATTAGAACAAATTTTTAAAAATGGAGACAAGCATAGAAAAAATGAAATAATAATGTAATAATGTTGACAAAATGTTTGCACCTCTTGCCAGAGACCATCAGGCAGAATGGGTTCCTGACTCATCACAGCAGGGGTAGCCAGGATCCCTGTGCTGAGGAACTCCTTTGGTTATGTGGGCAGCTCTCCAGGGTCCCCACTGCTCCCGTTTATTCCACACGAGATTCAGAGGATTGCAATGCTCCCAGGTAGCAGTGGTGGATGCAAATGCTAGAAAAGTAGGGCTAGAGCTTTTGCAGGGAATCATCATGATAGAGGTGAAATACAATATCCTGGTACCTGAGGGCACTGGGGAAGTCCAACCCCGCCAGAGTACCGGCATGGTGAGAGGTGGAGTAAGGATGACATGCCAAGGGAGTTTGTCATGTGTATAATAGATATTGACTAAATATCATGAGAGAAAATATTTCCCACAGTGTCAGCCTCCAAGATCAAAGGCCAATAGGTCCTGGAATAGGTCCAGAGAGGCCAAATCTCAGCAGGTAACGTTTCCACTAAGGATCAAACAGATCTCACAGGAAGACCAGCACATGGAGCAGGGTGAGATGGTGTGAGAAAGAGGCTCTTGAAATCAGGCAAGACTGAAATACCTTCAGTAGAAAAGTTAAGAATTCCGGTCATCCCAACACTCATGTGTAACTTCACCTTCCCGGTTCCTCAAACTTTCCACTGTTGCTCATTAAGAAGACCGTGCTAGGCATAGAAGAAAAAGTAAGTTCCTCATTCTTGGTTCTACTGTTTAAGAGAAAAATATAGGCTTGTGATGCAGTGTCCTGTTTAGATGGTGTCCAAGAGAATATGACAGTTAAGAAGACATGCTGCAGACGTCAGGGTGAGGGTCACCTTTTGGAGGTTAAAGAGGAAGTGCTTACATTAATGTGTCCTTGTGCTCTGTCTCTGAGCTGAACTTTTAAAAATGTTTTAAAAATTCCTCCCTTCACTTATTCTTCATCCTCAGCCCACCATTACGTTATGTCCATTTTACCTTCTTGTCTCCCAGCCCCATCACCTCATTTTGTTCTCCTGTGTGATTCTCTATCCAGCATTTCTTGCCTGCATGGGTACAGCAACTCTTACACTGGTCTCTCTGATACCAAACTGGTCACTTCAAACTCACTCCACATACGCCTTCTAAATTAAGGTCTGGTTACTTGCCATTTTCATACTGAACACCTGGCTTCACATTTCATATGGGAGGTCTGTAAGGACCTAAGGACCGTCAGCCTGGGAGAGGGTTTCCCCTGTACTCTGTGTCCTCTCTAATCTTGGTTCTCATCAGCCTTGTATTTTACACCTGAAAAACCCTGAACTACTTTTAGTTCCTCCTGGAGCTGACCTCCTACTTTGGGTCTTTCTTCTTTAGCTTATCAGGTGGAGCACCCCTTCCGGCTGTACCGCCTCTTCCAACCCCTTGCTAACTCCTATTCCTTCAGGATGGTCTTCCCCTCCAGGAAGTCTTCCTTAAGCTAGTCCACTCTGAGGCAGTCCTCCTCCTCCTGGGCCATATGAACGCCTCTGAGTATCTCGAGCGTCAAGGCATTGTGTAGAATTGGTAATTTCCACGTATATACCATTTTACTCTCCCCTCTAGACGGTGAGTGAAGTGACAGGAGGAAATGCGTTTTACTCATTCTTTCATTTCAAGACTATCACAATGTGTGTGTGTGTGTGTGTGTGTGTGTGTGTGCATGTGTGTGTGGGGGGGAGAGACAGACAGAGAGAGACAGAGAGATATCCTGGCATTTTTCATCATATAGAGGTCTACATTTTCCATTATTCCCTCTTCTTTCTGGTTAAATGGGAAATCTGATTGTCTACTGTTTCATTTCTAAATTGTCCTTGTTTTTTAAAGATACTATAAGTGTATGTAGTGGGAGACATTAATAAACTTCACTCTAAAGTACTTGTTCTGAGTCTTGGGTTCTGCTGAACATTTTCATGTAGTTCTTGCTCTGATCTTTACAACAAACCTGTCAGCTTGCTATTATTAACCTCATTTTACATATATCAAATCTGAATTCAAAGAATTCAAGTTAATTACAAAAGTTTGCACATTAGCAACTGTCAGAACTTTGTAAAAACCAGGTTCATCTGAACCTCGAACACGTTTTTAACCTTTCTTGGATCATGGGATCATGTTTACATAAGAGAAGATGTTACAAAAGAAACATTTTGTGAGAAAGAAATTTATATATTTTCCTCTTCAAAAATACTTTTTTTAAATAAAGAAGAAACACTCATTCAAAAAATTAAGTGTTTTCCTATAATACAGTTTATTTATAATTTTAGAAGAGTCGAGAACAGTGTCTTTATGCATCTTTCCCCACTACGGCTCAACAATTCTTTTCAATCCCTTTATAATTAAGTGAAAGAGTTTCATATTTGAGTAAAAAAGTTGTTTAACTTACCTCACATATCATAAGTAAAAATCGAATCATTCATTATTGGTTGGTTAGTTATCACAACAATTACAGCCTGTTCTTATTGCTGGGATGGTCTCTTTAGGCTGTGATCATTTTCTATAGGAGAAGACTGACCAAACTAATGAGAAAAAATATGTGACTATTTTGGTGCCTCTCAGTTCCTTCCATTCTGCTTTCTTCCCCCACTTGTATGGATTTCCTCAGGCAAAGAAAAAGAAGGGCAGAGAAAGATCCCACCTGTCTACAGACTTATTGGCATGACAAAGGCTTAGGTGTTCTTGTTGTTTCAGTTATATTCTCAATTATCTTTCCTAGAAGCCATGGCTCATGCTGTTATTACCTAGACTGATTACGACTTATAAAGAATTATTATCATAAGAATATATACAAATGTTTCAGATATAGACTTATTTTGAAAGGAGATGACACTTGCTAAATTATAAATATTTAAGTAAAAATATGTTATTGATTCCCAATTCCCATAAAGGTAAAAAGATGTTATTGATTTCTCCCAATTCTCATATCTTAAATATTCTACCAATATTTCTTTAAAATTTTGCCTATAAAATTAATAGAAAAATAAAATTTATTTTCTTCAGGACATTTCATATAACCACATTAAAAATATGTTCTCTTGGGTAGGGATGTAGCTCAGTGGCAAAGCTCTTGTCTAGTATGCGTGAGGCACTGGGTTCAATCCTCAGCACTACATAAAAATTAACAAATAAAATAAAGACATTCTGTCCATCTACAACTACAAAACATAAAAAGTTTTAAAAAATGTTCTCAATGCAGCCAGTGTAAAGATAGTTTATTAGTTGTGCAGCACCAATCTGCCATGCTAGAGAGAGGAAAGCAGTGTGACTTCCTTAGAAGATGTCATACAGAAATTTCAGGAAGGTGGAAAGGATGCCTCAAGCATGTTGATGCATCGTGTGTAGGTATTGGATGAGATGACTTCTCATTTCCCCTTGGGCATGTAACTTTGTCATTCTCTACAACTCTCACGGTGTTCTCTCCTTTATGAGCATCCTCTTCAGAGCACATTTGACCTCTTTGTTCCTCAGACTATAGATCAAGGGGTTGAGCATGGGATTGAAAAGGCTGTGAAACAGCAGGAGATATTTCTTCTGCTCCTTGGAGTCCCAATGTTGGGGCCCAATGTACATGACAATGGCTGTACCATAAAAGAGTCCAACCACACAGAGGTGGGAGGAGCAGGTGGAGAAGGCTTTCTGGCGCCCCTCTCCCGACTGGATCTTCAGAATGGCACCCAGAATACGAGCATAAGATACTACGATAGAGGAGAATGGCCCCACCAGCACAGATGCTGCCCCAGCCAAGACCAGGACCTCATTGATGTGGGTATCTGCGCAGGCAACTTTGAGAACAGCTAAAATTTCACAGAAAAAGTGGTTAACTTTCTGAGATCCACAGAAGGGCAATGGTAGGAGTAATATTAAATGAACTAGGGCCAAGGAGACTCCTAAAATCCAGGAAGTCACTACCAGGCCGATGCAGATTCTCCAGCCCATGATGGCAGAATATCGAAGGAGTTGGCAGATGGCCACATACCTATCATAGGACATCATCACCAGGAGGAGACATTCTGTGTGTGCGAAAGTCAAAAAGAGAAAGGTCTGGGTCATGCAGCCCCCAAAGGAGATGGGCAGGGCTGGGTCCAGGAGATTCAGCAGCATCCGGGGCACTGTGTTGCAGGCATAGGCGATGTCCACTATGGCCAGGTGGGAGAGGAAGAAGTACATGGGGGTGTGCAGTCTGGGGTCCAGGCAGATGAGAGCCAGGATAGCCCCATTCCCCAGCAAGGTAAAGGCGTAGAAGAGGGAGAAGAGCCCAAAGAGGAGCACCTGCATCTTTGGGCCAAGTGGAAATCCCAGGAGGAGGAACTCTGTGACCATAGTCTGATTGCCTTGTGGAGGAAACAACCAAGTTCACCACATCTGAATGTCTGAGCCAAGTGTTCAAACATGATACAACTGTGTGTGTCTTGGTTTTCTAAGGAAATGACCTTTCATGACATTTATGGCCTGTTAGACACTTATTAAGGGAAAATTATGTGTTCCAAATGAAACAGAAGAAAGGTTGTCATGTATGAGTTAAATGCTAATATTGTCTTACCTTATTCGGTAAATTTTACCTTTATTTGCAAACGGAAGTTCAAAATCTGTTAATACTTAAAATACCATCACAGGAGAGGACCCAGTTTTCAGTTTGTGGTGATTATATCAGACATCATCCCATGAGTATTCCTGCATTGCAGCTTATGAATGTCCTCATGTGCACATGTGTACACATCTTCATGAGGATGGAAGGGGATGAGGAACAAGCAGGTCAATTATCCTTCTATCAGATTTTCTCACAAATTTGCACCTTCAAAATATGAATTATTTGTTAGACTTGGGATTTCTTCAGATAGAATACAGATGAATTAAGTGAAGAGAATAGGAGATTGCTAAAATTTTGACTAGACTTACAATGAAGACATTTATCTTTTGACTTTGTATCCACAGTTGGTTTATTCTGTTGTCTCTGCTCAGAATATGTTACCCCTGGTAGATATCACACTTGATATTCTATATTTATAAATACACCCACGACCTTGTCTACACCTGGAAATTTGAAAAGTATTGCCACATCCCACAGTAAGAAATATCTGCCCAAAATGTACACAACAGAATACATATATTTACTTGGATCCTTATTGTATATAATGCGCTTTAAACATTCTATTTTATTCTAGTCTCTTATACTCCATTTCATTAGTAAAAATGCTGGTCAACTGATTTTTGTGATGGGTCATAGCCTGCAATTTAAAAAATTACTGATCTATATCTAAGAGTAGAGGTAAAGCACTTACTAAATAGTCTTATATTTGTAGAATCTTTAACATTGTGTTATAGCTTTTGAGCTATAATGTAAAAAGTAATTATTACTTACAGTGAATCTTTTAAGTATTTTTGTGACTAATTAGATGTCTTAAAACCTTTCTATGTAGAGTGGGTTTCCTGAGGTTTGCATTTTGACTTTGAAACCACTGCTTCTGTTTACTTTCTGTGTGACTGTATAGTCTTTTTCCATCCTAAATCCACGTGAATTGCACATTCAAAAATAAGAATCTCAGAAAAATTCGTAATAGAGTTGGTCAGTCTCCCCTTCATATTTTTAAGGTTAATATTTGAAAGGTTTCCTAAGCAAGAGTGAGTAAACCTGTGCCTTGATTCAGAGGAACTATCAGAATTCACAGTAGATGGCAAATGAGAGAGAAGATCATCTTAGTCCAAGAGAGAGCTCTGTAACCATTGGAATCACTCCATGAAACCTGGTTGTTTGATTAGGACTAAACTTTATCCCTGTGACTATTTAAAATCAGACATTGATTGAACATCTATTTGAGATGGGGTCCTGTGTCATATAAGGTGTTGTACTAGGACAGCAGGGTCCAAACTTCAGTGGGCAGAAATGTATAGAAAAGTGTTGATCCAGTTCCCTTCAGCATTCTTATAATATTTAGAACCCAGTAAAGATAGCAATCATATTTCTAAAAGTTCCTATGATGCAAGCATATAACAAAATAAAATTGAAGAAACAAGGGGTATTTCTTTATCTTTCTCCTAATTTCAAGTAGCTAAAACACAAAATATAAAATCTATAGATATTTGCTAAATGTATGCTATGTTTTGCAACATGTTTCCGTAAAAGGTATGTGAGTCAGTGTCTATTTGCTGGCACATGTAACCTTCTTATTAAAAAGGCTCACAAATATGATCATTCTCTTGCCTCTTCCTTTTAGAAAAATGAATTGAAACTAAAAAACAAACCTGTCACCATGCTCCTTTTCTTCTTTCATGTAAATCCTTTTTTGTAGTCGACTTGGTCCATTAGTGTATAAAAACTGCTAATTTCATGAGGCAATAAAAACTTTTCCAAGCAAATATCTAAACCATCTGTTTTTTTTCTTAAAATTTAAACATAGAATTCAAAACAGATGCATCACAGTAAATAACTCATATTAGGTACATCTAAAAGAGTTGATAACTTTTAGATTACCCCTGTGTCTTAGTTTATAATTGGCAGAACTTCTGCATTAACAGACATTTACGTTTTGTATTGTGCTCGCATTATCGTCTGTCTGAAATTATAGAATGAATATTAGTTAAAGTATGAAACTTATCTTAGACATACATCTAAAAATGAGAAGACAAGCAGGATATGAGCTGGAAGAAGCCTCACAAATAGATAAACAGAGCTGTCAGTGTGGAAAGTTTTCTTCCAAGGAGAATCTTGTATAAATGCTCCAACAGACTAGATTTCTCTAAGAAGCACTAATTTTATTCTCCGATCAGCTCAGTTATTTCTCAACATACTCTGAAAGTTCATAGAGGGAGAGGGGAGGAAGTTCCATCACACACAGTCACCTGCTCCCTTCCAGGGAAGAGGGTTCTCACTGTGCTCCACACTGGTCTTCCCTGGAGGGGCGGTCAGGACAAGATGGTGCTGCTGACCATGTCTTCTTCACTCACTGCAGGGTCCAGAATCACAGATTTAAGAAGAAATCAGATGACTTTTAGGAAAAGATCCTTTATACTTTAATTTCCATCATATTGGATTTATTATGGTTTTAAGAACTCCAAAATTCCCCTTCTTGGCTTCCAAATAGATTAACTGGTATTTAAGGCAGGTGGAGCCTATATATATTTCCATCCTTTCTAATGTTGACTGAGTTTTCTGTTATACCTGACCTGAACAGGTATCGTGTGTGTGTGTGTGTGTGTGTGTGTGTGTATGTGTTGTCAAGTCTCCACAATGAATACAATTCATAAAATAAGATCAGATAACAAGACCTATAAGAACTATGTGTTCAGGAGTCAAGGAAGAGGGTAGAATATCCCAGTGGGACTTGTTAAACATTATTTTTAGTATTTAACTGTAGTACAAACAAGGAAGGAACATCTCACCAAGAAACAATCTCTATTCTTTAATTTGTGGTGGTTTTGAGCCCAAGAGAGGAAGAAATACCAAGATCCCTCGAGTCCTGTGACTACTGCTGTTCTCTGTTCCACCTGAAGCAAAATGGACTGCGCCTGTTTTATAATTTGAGCGACTGTGACAATCAAATTGTGCCATTGTGGTTTAAATGTCTGTTTTATTCCCTGATCTAAATTTAAGTTCATGCTCAGAAGAGGCAAAGCATAATTTCCTAAATTAGTTATTTTCATTTAGATGTCAACCAATTATGAAATTAATCAATTTTACCTGGAGAAAGGTGACCTGCAGTGGGTTTGTAGTGGGTTTTTGCCATCATAGCTACCCAGTAAGAGGCTTGCTAGGAGTGGAGTCCAGATGCATGGGAGAATGTGGCTCCTTGGCATTCATGCCTAAGGCCACTTGGTGTCCAGAGAAGAGAGGTCACTGTTAATTGTATGATGCTAGTGGTCCACTTTGCTAAACATAGAATCTCGTCTATTTCCTTTTCTCCTGTGAATTTCTAATTCACTAGTGTAAAAGACTCTCCTATTTGCCTCATAATATTTTGGGCCCTCAATTCTAATCTGAAAAATAATTGTTTGATTTTTTTAAATGCTGCATTTAGGTAATTAATCCTTTATCTAGGATTTTTGCATTTATATTTACTTTTGAGACTTAGTCAATCAATTCCTTTTCTTCTATGGTTCTTCTTCAGTTTTGTTACCAAAATCATACAAGCTGCTAAAAACAAACTGTAGAGTCCTTCCCCAAACCATTTCAAAAGTTTTAATATGAAAATTAGATGTTCCTTGAAGATTGGTATAATTTTCTTTTAGAAATAGGTGATTTGGTATTCTTTGGTAGGATAATTCTGAAAATCAATTCAGTGTTTTGAGCACTTATTACATGAATTTTCTATTTCTACATAATGAAGCTTATGTAATCTTCTAATTTTTAGACTTACTGAAATGGATTTTATAGATAGTGTTCGATTATCATTTTAAAACCCTCTGCATTTTAATTGTATGGCTATTTGTTCCTGATATTGTCTATATAGGCCTTTTACACTTTTATTGGGACCAGTCATCTATTTTATAAGCTTTACTTCCTCCTCTTACCCCTCCTCCTCTTCTTCTCTCCCTCTTTTTTTTTTAAAAAAATATAAATATATACTGTGAATTGATCCCAGAGGTCACTTAACCACTGAGCCCCTTTTTATTTTTTTACTTCGAGACTGGGTCTCACTTGTGTAGGGCCTTGCTAAATTGCCGAGTCTGACTTTGAACACGTGATCTTCCCATCTCAGCTTCCCGAGTCCCTGGGATTACAGCCATGGACCACTGCTCCCAGCTAACTTTTCTTACTTATAAGATGCAAGTTTCTATTTTAATGATCTTAACATTTCCTTATTTTTACAATAAAGATTGCACACACACACACACACACACAATAGTCTACCTTTAGTTAATTCTCCATTTTATCTTCCCAAGTTCAATATTTAACTTATTCCTTATGTTTTATTTTTAAACAAATATAACCTGTTATTTATTTACTTTTTCAATCATTTTAACTATAGACCTCAACCTTGACATTTATAACTTCTACCATTGCTAACTTCATCTTTAAAAGACATATATAGTTTTACATTTTCAGGTTTTCAAGTATTTTTATTACATTTTCATTGTTAGCTTTACATTCATTATTACTATGGTAAGAGAATAAATCCTTGTGCTATTGACTCTGAATATTTTAGGGGTTTTATTGCTTTACATATAGTAGATTTTTGCAATTGTTATATTGGATTTAATGAAATATATAGACCATTTCTTCATTATAAGACTCTTCATATATCTATTAAATCAAGTTTCATAATTTTGTTTTTCTAATATTGTATTTTTTTCAATTTTATCTATCAATTTCTGAGAGCCTTCTGCTAAGTTCC